CATGTGGCCCATGGGCCGTAGTTTGAGGACGCCTGCTCTATATCATAATTTCCTTAACAATTTCTCGATCACTGAACATTAATTTAAGCAAGCCCTGGTGGTACTGTTGTTAAACCAAAAGATCAGCAGCTCAAACGCACCGGTCACTCTGAGGAAGAAAAGATGTGGCAGTCTGGTTCTGCAAAGATTGACAGCCTTGGACACCCTGCGGGGCAGTTTTACTCTGTCCTGTAGGGTTACCACAGGTCAGAATCAAATGGAAGTCAGTGGGTTGTTAGTTTTTCTCTGTGGTCCTGGTTAAGCCATTAATGACGTTAACGCCTCTGGATCGCCACATGCCCTACTTTGTGAATGGGCCAGATTATCTAAAAAGCATGATGATAGGAACACTAATATGATACTTTGAGACTGTCCTGTAAGATTCTTTTAAAACAAATAATCCCTCATCAATCTTGATTATCAGTAACATTCTCTCCTTTATTAATCTCAGGCCAAATAATCTATCACCTTGAATCAAATCAAACAGAATTGAATTTAAAGAAAAAAAGCAGTGGGATAATGTGGAAGAACAAGTACCTTGCTCCGATGGATACAGTAATGACATTGTCCAGATTGAGTTTGCACCATTGTTCAACATCATATGCAAAAGTTGCACTGAACATAGCTCTTCTGACCTTGTGGGATGTGCAGGCCAGGAAAATGGAAGCCAGCTGGTCTCTGAACCCAGTTTTGCCATCTTCAAACAGTTTGTCTGATTCGTCCACTACGAGCCACTCAACACTAAGAAATAACAAAACACCTTGTGAATACTGAACTGGAAGATCCAAGAAACATCATCAAATGTGGTGACACATGATGTTGCTCTCAAATCTATTATCATAACAGAAAGCAGTACAAGAAAAACAAGCAGAAGATAAACTTAAAAGACAAGAGGTACCATTCAGCATTAACTCATTTACACCTCTGGTGAGCTTCACTGGCATCACTGAGACGTGGAAGGTTGAGGGAATTCTGCACTAATGGGTCATCAAAACATGCAACTTTCTTCAGACCAGATAGTTCTTTTTACTAGGGGAATAATGAAACTCATTATTCTCAGCACCAACCCTGCCTAAAAGTTGGTAGTTAGCAAGGTACACAGGCAAATAAAACAAGCAACGGAAACAAAATACAATAAAATGAAAAACACACATGAAGGACATGAAAATA